GCTCGTGTGCCCAATCCTAGCCCGGGTCCTGTCTCGACCCGCCCCCCGGGCGCCCGTTGGAGCGCCGGCTGCCCAATCCCGGGGCTGGCGCCGCCCACAGGCGTTCTAACTACCCAATCCCTGGCGGCCCGTCCCCTGGGGCCTGACGCTGGCGCTCCGGGTTCCGGGTCTCATCCCTGGGGCTCGGGACCCCCGTTCCTACCTCTCACGAGGTGCTGATCCCCACACGGGATTCCGCGCGCGCGCGCGGGCGCACCTAAACTTCCAGGCTCCTGACGAGCCCAGAGAGACTCGGGTGCAGAGGAAGCCCAGAGACAGGTGGACAGGATTGGAAGTCTCAATCTTGAGAAGGAGCGGTATGGATGCAGTTTTTTTAACTTACTTTTTTTTTTTTTTTTTGAGATAGGGTCTCGCTACGTAACCTAGGCTGGCCTCGAATGCACAGCGATCCTCTTGCCTCAGCCTCCCGAGTTCTGGGATCGCAGGAGTGCGACAACGAGCCTGGCTTCTTTTGTATTAATTTTTTTTTCCTGGGATGAAATTCAGGGCCTTGCACAGGCTAGGCAAACACTCCTAACACTGAACTGTACCCACAGTCCTACATATAAAATGCTTTGAAGAAAAAAAGTCAAAACAATCGTACAAACTCTTACACTGGCGCTACTGGGGGGCCGAGGTGGGGGCTGATAGAGCAGACGGAAGGCAGCCCCGTGCGCAGGGTGCGTTAGGATCATGTGTGCCCCGGGAAGGAAACTGATGAGCCGCTGGGCGGATGAGGCGCAGGGAAGGGTGTCACTTGCCCAGGGTCATGGACCCGGCTGCTGCTCTGCGTTGTGGGTGTGCTAGGCAGGGTGGCAGGAAAGAGAGGGGAGCCCCACAGCACCCGCCGGCAGTGTTCAGCCAAGCCTGGGGCACGGGTGGGCCCTGCCTGGCGCTGGACCTCCAGGTCTGGAGCCCTGGTCTCAGCCAGGCGGCCAGGTTTCAGGCCAGCGCTGTGAGGTTCCCGTGGCTGTAAACCAAGTGCCCGAAAGTTAGTGGCTTGAACCACCCCAGGCTACCCTTCCTTGTTTCTGTGGGTCAGGAGCAGACACCATGACACTGAATCCTTCGCCCTAGCTTCACAAGACTGAAATCGAGGTCTTCAGGAAATCCTTGGTCACGTGACTCCTTTCCATAAATGGTGTGTTTGGTCGAGCAAGGCACATCCCTTGAGAGACTGTATTTGTTGAGGTTTTTTTTTTTTGAGATTGTTACATAGTTCAGGCTGGTCTTGAACTCACTAGGTAGCCCAAGCTGACCTTGAATTTGCAGTGATCCTCCTGCCTCAGCCTCCTGAGTTCTGGGATTACAGACATGCACCACCACACCTGGCTTCTTTCAGAGACTAAATCATTCCTTGGTGGATTAGAATTTCTGATGCAGCATAAACACTGTGCACATAGTTTTGTATTGTTTAAGAAATAGTGCCAGGGAGTAAAAGTCTGCACGCGTCCAGTACAGGCACAAATTTTTCCAACTATTTCCCATCCTGGTGATTGACTCTGGTTTTTTTTGTTTTTCGTTTTTCTTCCGGTACCGGGAATTGAACTCATGACTTTGCGCTTGCCAGGCAGGCACTTTGCCGCTGAGCTAAATCCCCAGCCCCTGGTGATTGACTCTGAGGGTGCAGAATCAGAGGGCTGGCCGTGCAGGGTAGGAGCCCCAGGGCCTTGGGATCGGAGGGACACTTGAACTCCTGCCAGCCACGTCATCTGACTTCTGCACTCCCTGGCCAGGAGACCCCAAGCTGGCAGACCCACCGCTCTGAGCCTCAGTTTCTCTCTCTCAGATAAATGATGGTACCCTACTTTCCTCCAAGGGTAGGTGACTCACAGGAACAGTCCAAGCCAAAGGCCAGTTGACACACCGCTGGCTGCCAGGATGGGGTATGGGGAGCAGGTAAACAGAGGCAGAGGCAGTTGCGGTGGACCATACGTGTCTTTCCAGCACTCAGGAGGCTGAGGCAGGAGGATCACTACAAGCCTGAACTATATAGCCAGACCCCATCTCAAAAAACAACAGGGGGCTGAGGATATAGCTCAGCAGCACACCGCCTGTCTGGCAGGCTTGAGGTTGTGAGTTAGATTCCTGGTAGCAAAAAAATATATAGAATTCTACCCCAGGGCGAAGGAGTTGCTGTCTTTGCTCCGCCATGCCCAGCCTTGGCTGCACACTGACCCGCACCATCTCTCTCTGTTGCAGGAAGCCTTGGGAACAGGTCCCCAAAAAGCCAAAGCACAAGAAAAGTAAGTGGAACCCCAGGCTGGGGGAGCAGGAGGGACTAAGGGGGTGTGGGCTGTGGGGGTCAGCAGTGGAGCCTGGTGCCAGGGCCCTGGGCCACACCGTTGGAGGCCAGAGAGCTGGGCCTCAGCCTTGGGCCACGTGTCTGTCCCCCAGCTCCTCTGAGCGGGGCTTATAAGAGCCGGCAAGGGGCGGGGCGGGGCGGGGGCAGTGTGGCTCTGCGTCCTGGGCTGCAGGTCTGGGCCATATCCCAGAGGGAAAGCGTGGGTGCCCTGGGGGCTGCCTGTGGCCGGGGCCCCTTCTCACCGCCCTTTGGATGCAGAGATGAGTGCGAAACCCCAGCGGGGTGGGCAGTGCGAGGCTGGAGGGCCGCTGTGGGCCGTGTCCCTGGCACCCCGACCCTGGCACCCCCACTCCTCTCCCTGCCTTGAGCGTAGGGGACATACCCCTACCAAGGGGCGGTACCCATCAGAGTCACAGAGCCACCCCTTGGGCACTCGCTGTGTGCCCAGCCCTGTCCCTGAGCCTGTCTTCGCCCCGCCCACCTCCCTGGAAGCCCTTGGACCGGGTCCTGCCTGCGCCCTCACCCACAGAGGCAGCGGGGCTCAGGGAAGTTGTGTCACTCTGCAGCTGCCCAGCTGGGACGGTGCAGAGCCTGGAGTGAGCCCGGGCCCTGACCCTCCACGCCTGCCTTACAGCAGCTTCCCACCCACCCATGAGTGCCTGGCCTGTGAGGCCCTGGGGGCACAGAGAAATGCCCCTGCCTTTGGGGAGCCGATGTGCTGCTGGGGGCCAGGTAAGAAACAATGGAGCAAATAGCCCATGACAGCTGCCACCAAGAGCGCAGGGACAGTTACAGTCTCATTCTCCTCTCTGATACAGTACTCAGGAGGCTGAGGCAGGAGAATCACTGTAAGTTTGAGACCACCCTGAACTGCACAGTGAGACCCAGTCTAAAAAACCAAAACAATGCCACCTTACAATTACTGCGCCTCTCCTCTGTGCCAGGCTTTATGGCTTAGAGTATGTCGCAGGTGATGTCCCTGGCAGGTCCCCGTGGTGTCCAGGGTGAGCCTCGGTCTCCTCTGTGAACTGGGTGCACGGCTCAGGAGGGCAGTCCCAGGGCCTCGTCTCACGGGCACACGGGCGCTGTGTCCACAGGGCGGCGCCGCAACGTGAACTGCCTGAAGAACGTGGTCATCTGGTATGAGGACCACAAGCACCGCTGCCCCTACGAGCCGCACCTGGCTGAGCTGGACCCTACCTTCGGCCTGTACACCACAGCTGTGTGGCAGTGCGAGGCCGGCCACCGCTACTTCCAGGACCTGCACTCACCCCTGAAGCCCCTCAGCGACTCAGACCCCGACAGTGACAGAGGTGGGTTCAAGGGACGATGGGGCCTGAGCTGCCCACCTGGAGGCTCAGACTCAGACTGGACGGCAGCCAGGCTGAGGCAGAAGCCTGGACGCTCAGGAAGCCCAGGCGGGAGACGTCCCATACACCTGGCTGGGTGCTAGGGGCAGGCGTGGCAGGGCAGATGCTGCCCCCTTGCCTTGCCTCTGGTACTATTTTTCTTTTTCTTTTTCTTTTTTTTTTTTTTCGTTTTTTTGAGGCAGGGTCTCATATGCAGTTCAGGCTGGACTTGAGCTCACTTTGTAGCCCAGGCTGGTCTCGAACTCACAACGATCTTCCTGCCTCAGCCTCCCAGGTGCTGTGATTACAGGTGTGCGCCACCAAGCCCAGCTTGGTACTATTTTTCTTTTCTCTCTTTTTTTTTTCCTTGTTTTTGTTGTTTTTTGTTTTGTTTTGTCTTTTTGAGACAGGGTTTCACTCTGCAGCTCACGCTGGCCTTGAGCTCACTTTATAACCTAAGCTGACGTTGAACTCGCTGTGCTCCTCCTGCCTCAGCCTCCCAAGTAGTGGATGACAGTTGTGTGCCACCATATCTGGCCTTATGTTGGTTTGTTTTTTGAGACAGGTTCTCCCTGTGTAGTCCAGGCTGGTCTTGAATTCACTATGTAGCCCAGGCTGGCCTGGAATTCGCAGTGATCCTCCTGCCTCATTCCCCCATGCCGGGATGACAGGCGTGCACCGCCACACCTGGCTTTTTCTGGCCCCACTTCTTTCTCCAGCTCTCCCAGGCCGTTCACTCCCAGCTCTTTTTTCCTTCTGTCCCTTTTCCACCGCCCCAGGCCCTGTGCCCTCTAGAGTGAGCCTCCTTCTGTACCTGGTCTCCTCCTCCTCCTCCTCCTCCCCTCCTCCCGCCCACACCGTCCCTTCCCGAGTGTCCCTGGGCCCGCTCCGGCCACTCTGGGCTGATGCCGACCGAGGACCCGGGGAACGCAGTGGCCACGGCGCAGGTGGCCGTCGGCAGTAGTGGGGACCCGTTGGTGGTGAGAGGCTGCTGCCACCTCGGGGTTGGCGTGGCTGGGAGAGGAGTGTGGGGCCGCCGCCAGGCGCCCTGCTGGGCCCCAGGGTGGGGTCAGTCGCCAGCCAAGCCTGCGCTGGCAGGTGGCACGGAGCAGGTGGCATCCCAGCTGGCCTAGGGGAAGCCAGGAGCCAGAGGCGTTCCTCTGGGCGCGACGCCCACGGCCGTCCCGTTGCGCCTCGGCCAGGCTCCCAGCACGCAGGTGTCCTTGGCTGCAACCAGCAGGCTGTGCCTGCCACCCCCAGCCTGTGCCCTCCAGCCCCACGCCGTCCTTCCCCACGGCCCTGTCGAGACCCCAGGGTGACGCGGTGTCAGGCTGGGGTGGGACGGAACCCAAGAAGCCCTCACACCCAGGCCAGCCGAGACAGCCACACCAGCCCGGACCTCGGTGCGCACCGCGATCTGCCGACCATATCTGCTGAGCGTCATGGCCGGCAAGTGGCCTTGTCCCTGTCTCAGCTCTGTTCCCTGAGCAGCAGGGAACCCTGCTGCCCTGTGCCGGGGGCCTCCCTTGGTCGCTGTTTGTGTGCACGTGTGTGTGTGTGGCACTAAGGGTGGAAGCCAGGGCCTCCATGCTGAACTGCATCCCCCACAGCTCCCTCTTTATATTGAGACAGGGTCTCACTAAGTCACTGAGTTGCCTAGGCTGCGCTTGAACTTGCGATCTTCCTGCCTTAGCTTCCCAGAGTGCTGGAATTACAGGAGTGAGCCACTATAGCTAGAGGCTTTTTTGGTTTATTTGTTTGTTGGAAGACAGTATCTCATTATGCAGTCCAGGCTGGTCTTGAACTTGCAGTCCTCCTGCCTCAGCCTCCTGAGTGCTAGCCTCTTTGATACCTGGAGAAAAGTCCAGATGAGCTGTAAGAACTGGACTCCGAAGTCAAGTGTCCCGGCCCTGTCCCCAGTGCGCTTGGTGGCTGCCCGCTCCTTCAGGGTGCTGGACAGTGCTCAGCTCACCCTGCAGATGACAGTGCCAGAGCCGTGCAGTGCTGCTGTTAGCAGGAGGGGCTGATGCCCTTGTCCCTGATTCAGGCCTGGGCATCTGCGTGGCTGTGTCAGCTTCTCGTTGCTGTAATGGGATAACCTGCTTGTAAGGAGAAAACAGTTAGTGTCCGTGCCGTCTCGCAGCCTCTGAGGTCCGGTCAGGCGGCTGTGGCTTTTCAGCCAGTGGTGGGGCTGGATGGCAACAGGGAGAGCAAGCTGCAGAGCAGAATCACTCCCCCACCCATAGCGGGGAGCAGAAAGGAGGAAGGAGGGCCTGAGCTGCACTGTCCCCTTCAAGGCCACGCCCCCAGTGACCTCAAGACCTCCACCGCGCCCCGCCCCTTGGAGGCTCCACCAGCCCCCAACAGGACCATCTCAGGGACCAAGTCCTTAACACATGTGGCTCTGAGGGACACTGCTCCGCACACAGCCATTTCCCGGGGGCAGTGGGGGAATAAGGTAACGAGAGGCACTTAGCCGTCCCTGGCTCTTTAAATGGTATTTCCCTATGCACCGCCCCCAACACCCCTGCCGGGTGATCTCCAGCCACAGAGGGGTCGCGCGGTGCTGTGCTCATGCAGCCGGTGACCCCCAGCTCACACTTGCATCATGGGTTTCTCCAAAGGGCAGTTTCAGAGCATCCAGTTTCGGACTGTGCACCAGACCCCAGGCAGTGATGTTAGCCAGGACACTCAGTCACTGATTCCGACTGCAGTCCCCGGAGGCCTCAGGCAGTGGGGGCTCTGCCAGAGGCCCCTGTCCTCATGAGTGGGAAGCATTAGTAAGATAAGCGATAACAGACAGAAGGTGAAGGTGATGAGCGCCATAGGGAAAAGAGGAGCAAAAGGGAGCCTTCCTGAAAAGATGCCATTTGCTGGAGTCTGATGGAGGCAAGGGAGGGCTTCACAGGTACCAGGCAAAGAGAACAGCAAGTGCAAAGGCCCTGAGGCAGGAACTTGCCTCATGTCTCTGAGGAGCAGCGGACTAGAGAGGAGGGGAGGCAGGGGACTAGCACACGTCCAGGGCTGGGGGGCCACAGTGATGGCTACACCTGGTGAGTTAGAAGGGTTTTGAAGGGAACGCAGGCCACAGAAGCTCTTGGTTACACCTAGCTCTTGTGATCATTGTAGTTTGGTTCCCCCCCGACAAAGTCCAGGATACTTGACTGTAGGCTGCCTTCCTCCTGGCGACCCAGGTTCTTTCCATCCTGTGGCTCCAGCCCTCCTTCCAGGTCTGGCTGGTATGGACAGAGAAGTAGAGCCCCGCCCCCATCTGCTTCTGTTCTATTGGCTGGAACCAGCCACAGACCCTACCTACCCACTGCAAGGTATGCTGGGAGATCTAGTCGGTCCTAATGCCTGGAAGAAATGGGGGTTTGGGCACAGCTGGCTTGTGATGAGAAAGTGGGCAGGAGCCAGAGGACCAAGGGGAAGGGACTACACAAGGACGATGAGACTGTGACCAGCATCTGCTGAGGAGGGAGGCAAAGCAGTTGGGCTGTGGATGGATGAATGCTGCTGACAGATTGGGAGTGGGTGTGAAAGAGGATGCAGTGAGATAACCCCAGGACTTTGGCCCGAGCAGTGGACACAGAGCTGCCCCTTGCCGAGACAGGGACACCTGTGAGCAGTCTGGGCTCTTTCGGAGGGATGATCGGTGGGGAAGAGCTGGTGCTGCTGAGCCGAGTCTGAGATAGATGTGCGAGCCCCGGTTAGGACACTGGGATGAGTGCAAGATGAAAAAGTCTAGCATTCCACAGGCAGGCCCAGACCCCCGTAGACACATGGAGCCTCTAGGCCGTGAGTGATTGTAATAGCCAGGTGCAGTTCACTAGCACTTGGGAGGCTGAGGCAGGAGGGCCACAAGTTCAAAGCCAGCCACAAACTACTTGGTGGGACCCTGGCTCTAAAAAGCCAAACAGAAAAAAAAGAAAGAAAAATTAATTGGCACTCTGTATCCCCAGTTCCATATCTGTAGGTTCCACCAACCAGGGATCAAAAATATCTGATAAAACAAATTGTTTCTGTTCTGAATATGTACAGATTTTTTATTCTTATTATTTATTCTCTAAACAATACAGTGTAACAATTTGCACATAGCATTTACATGGATGTGGTGGCACATACCTGTAATCCCAGCACTCGGGAGGCTGAGGCAGGAGGATCACCATGAGTTCGAGACCTGGGCTACATAGTTCAAGGACAGCCCTACTACATAATGAGACCCTGTCTCAAATAAACACACAAACAACAAATTCTACATTAGGGTATGCAAGATCACATGCAGATGCTATACTATTTTATATAAGAGATGTAAGCATCCTTGCATGTTAGTGTCCAAGAGGGTTTTGTACCTTTCCCCTACACACATCCAGGGCCAACTCGACCTGATCATCATCTTCAGTTCTCTGCACAGAGCTTCCAGAACCCCTTGAATTTCCTGAATGATGGAAGTGGTTATCATTATTCCTAGACACCCCCTTTGGAGCACCCCTAAGTCTATGCTAATGAGATGACTCAGGATGAGCCCCCTAGGCAGGCACCTTCTGGATGTGAGATGACCCCCCAAAAGCCAAGCACACCAGGTTCAGTGACACATGCCTGTCTTCCCAGCTACTTAGGAGGCTGAGGCAGGAGGATTGCAAGTTTGAGGCCAGCCTGGGCATCGTCAGGAGGCCCCGACCAAAATAAAAGGGCTGGGGATATAGCTCAGTGCTTTCTGGGTTCAATGTAAGGCCACACACAAAAAAAGACCAAACATACGATGAGGGTGGGGGCTCTCAGCCTCCCCCAGTCGCAGCACTGGTCAGGGCTGGAGGTTGCAGTTCAGAGCCCCGAGGCTGGTGGGCATGTTGAGGTGCCAGGAGGGCGGTGGCACCCTCAGGATGGCACAGATGCCCCATAGCCCTCCCCTACAGTGCACCACGCATCTCCCCCGTTGGCAGTTACAGAGTTGTACCCTTCAGAATGAAGCTGGGATCCTGTGTAGAGCAGTTTCCTGAGTTCTACAAGTTGTTCTAGTAAAACCCCCAACTTCCAGCTGGCCAGTTAGGCAGAAAGGAGAGCCTGGGGCCTGCAGCTGCCATTGGAAGGGGGGAGCTTTCAGCAGATACCATCTGGCACTGCCACTGCCGTCAGGATTGTCCCCTTTCTGCTCTCTTCAGTGGCCAATGGCCGGGTGGCTGGTAGCTCCGATTCGTCCAGCTCCAGCTCTGGCTCTGACTCTGAGGAGCCCCCCGAGAGCCACTCAGTCAAGGGCTCCTCAGCGGTGACAGCAGCGGCAGTGACAACAGCGGCAGTGACAGCAGCAGTGCCTCCTCCCAGCCCCGTGGGGAGCAGCGGGCTCATCACACAAGAGGGCGTGCACATCCCCTTTGACGTCCACCACGTGGAGAGCCTGGCCGAGCAGGGTGCCCCGCTGTGCCCCAACCCCGCAGCCAGCGGCCCCGAAGCCCTGGAGACGGTGGTGTGCGTGCCAGTGCCGGTGCAGGTGGGCGCAGGCCCTGGCACCCTCTTTGAGAACGTCCCCCAGGAGGCGCTGGGTGAGGTGGTGGCCAGCTGCCCTGTGCCAGGCATGGTGCCCGGCTCGCAGGTGATCATCATCGCGGGCCCTGGCTATGACGCCCTCACAGCGGAAGGCATCCATCTCAATGTGGCTGCGGGCAGTGGCACCCCCAGCAGCGGCCTGGGCGAGGAGGTGCCCTGCGCCATGATGGAGGGCGTGGCAGCCTATACCCAGACGGAGCCCGAGGGCAGCCGGCCCAGCGCCGTGGACCCCACCTCTGTAGCCGGCATGGAGACCAAGAAAGGTCTGGGGAGCCCCACTCTTGCCTCTGGTGGGGGTTGGGTGGGGCCTGGAGGGGCAGGGGAAAAGTGGCCCTGCAAATGGGCTCCTAGACGCCCGCATCCCTGCGGACACCACCCCGTGTCCACCCGTAGAGAAGGAGGACCTGTACATGCTCAAAACAGAGGAGAAAGAGGAGCTGGTTGCCCCACAGCTGGCGGAGCTGGCAGCTACAGTGCCTGAGAGCACGGAGCCCGAGGCCGAGGCAGACGGCGAGGAGCTGGACGGCAGCGACATGTCTGCCATCATCTACGAGATCCCCAAGGAGCCCGAGAAGTGGGTACAGCGTGGGCGAGGGTGGGGGCGAGGGCCAGAGCTCGGCACCCTGACACCCAGGGCCCTTCCCAGGAGGCGGCGGAGTAAGCGGTCCCGGGTGATGGATGCTGACGGCCTGCTCGAGATGTTCCACTGTCCCTACGAGGGCTGCAGCCAGGTCTATGTGGCCCTCAGCAGCTTCCAGGTGAGGCTGCACTCCAGGCCGCGCTGCCTGTGCTCATCAGCCAGAGGCTCACGGCGGGGCCCGCTGGGTGTCTCTCTGAGCCACCTCACCCCAGCTGGTCACAAACCCCTGCGTGACTAGAGAGCTTGCTGGACATCTTCCCCATCCACAAACCGGGTCACGACCAGGCCATTCTCAGGTGGAACTGTTGCCCCTGCCTGGAGCCTGGCATGTAGCAGGTGCATGGTAAGCTGCTCTCTGACCCTAGCTCTGCCTCTGACAGTCTGAGCTGGACAAGTGCACCCACTGCTCCTCTGGCCGAGGCCTGGCCCTGGCCTACGTCCCAGCCGCCCATCTGTCCTCACCCTCGAGGGCCCTTCAGGTGGCCCCACACATACTCCCACCCCTCTCACCCCCAGAACCACGTCAACCTCGTGCACCGGAAAGGGAAGACCAAAGTGTGTCCTCACCCCGGCTGCGGGAAGAAGTTCTATTTATCCAACCACCTGCGGCGGCACATGATCATCCACTCAGGTCAGGCCTGGGCCAGCGGGGGCACGGGCTGGGCCTGGAGCCCGCACTGCAGCAGGCAGGGGCATAGCCTGGCACCGGCCCCCTGCGTGGGAATTTTGTAAGCTCAAGCCACACAATCCCAGTGTCACTGTTAGAAATCACGCAGACCTGGGCAAGAGGTCGCTGTGCCCTGCCCACCGTCAGCAGGCTTCACAGGGACTTGGGGCAGGCCATGGGCAGTGAGCTGACTTCTAACAAGAGCGCCTGTTGCTGGAGTCTTGTTTTGTGTTTTGGTGGTCCTGCGGACTGAACTGAGGGAGCCCTGAGCTGAACTGAGCCCTGAGCTCAGTTCTTCTTTTATGTTGAGACAAGGTCTCTCCCAGGTGCCCAGGCTGGCCACGTTTTTTTTTGATCCTCCTGCCTCAACCTCCCAGACTGGTAGCAGCTTGTTTTTGTTGTTGTTTTTGTTTTTTGATTACGGGAGTTGACCTTAGGACCTTGTGCTTGCCAGGCAGGCGCTGTGCTGCTGAGCTATATCCCTGGGCCCTGGCAGTTAATTTTAAAAAATATTTTCAACCACTTTTTTTTTTTTTTCCTGAAAAAAGTACTACTTCAGAAAAAGGCAAAGCAAACGTTGCAGAAATAGCAAATGCAAAAGGTGACACATACTGGGGACAAAAATTCAGACCCATCCTGCTTGGCGCTTCGAACTCGGCCCCTCAGGAGCGGGAGGCTGAGCAGTGCCCTGTCTGTCTGCTAGAAGAGACGTCTGCGCTCGCGGGAGGTGGGGCCTGAGACTCGGCATTTCTGCCTCTCCCTGCCGCACCTCAGGGTCTCCCCGCAGCCCCCTGCCAGGTGCAGCTTTCTCAGTCTGTCTCCGCCGCCCCCAGGTGTCCGGGAGTTCACCTGCGAGACCTGCGGCAAGTCCTTCAAGAGGAAGAACCACCTGGAAGTGCACCGGCGCACGCACACCGGCGAGACACCTCTGCAGTGAGTGCGGCCCGGGCCGGGAGGGAGGGCACTGCGGGGCCCCGCCCCTTCCCGCGGAGGCCCCGCCCCTGACCCCGCCCCCGCCCCTGGGCTCGGCAGGTGTGAGATCTGCGGCTACCAGTGCCGGCAGCGCGCGTCGCTCAACTGGCACATGAAGAAGCACACGGCCGAGGTGCAGTACAACTTCACGTGCGAGCGCTGCGGAAAGCGCTTTGAGAAGCTGGACAGCGTCAAGTTCCACACGCTCAAGAGCCACCCCGACCACAAGCCCGCTTGACCCGCCCGGCCGCCGCCCTTCACCCCTAATTTATTCGTCCCCTCGGACACCGTGCCCGGCCCGCGGGGGCCTGGACAGCGTGGGGCCGCCGGACCGGCCGGAAGGAGGCGGCCCGCCCTGCCCTGTAGCCTCTCATCCGGGTGCCGGTGCGGGGCCGCGCTGCCGGAACCGTGGAGAGAGCGGAGCCAGATTAAAGCGCGCGGAAGGAGCAGCCCTTCCCCAGGCCTGGATGATTGGGGGGCTGGGCCCCTCTGCCGTGACCGCACGTCACCCAGGACTCCGTCAGCCCCCTACCCCGGTGGGCCCCTGGGCCTCGCAGACCGCGGCACGGCCGCTGCCCCCGGGGGGGGCGGGGACCGCGGCACGGCCGCTGCCCCCGGGGGGGGCGGGGAACCCGAGGCCAGCGGGCCGCCCGTGATCAGACCCTGCTCTGCTCCTCGAGTCTCCTGAACACGCATTCCCCACGCTGAGCTCCCAGGGGGTCGCGGAGGTGCTCAGAAAGCCCCCAAATGAAACCCCAGCTGTCGGCACCCACGCGCAGAAAAGAGTGATGCGTGTGTTTCCGGGGTACCATGTAGGAGGCCTCCCTGGGAAGGTGACATTTGCGTATAAGCCAGAGTGACAGAGGTTCCACCCCTGGAGAGATCTGGGAAAGGCAGGTCTTACGCTGAAGGAGTAGCCAGGGCAGAGCCCCGAGGTAAGGGCCTCGGCGCGTTGCTAAAACAGGAGGCCTCTGGGGAAAGGGGTTGTCAGCAACTGTGGCCCCATTTCCCGGAGGAGGATGCTGAGGCCGCTTCCTTCCGCGGCCGCGGAGAGCGGTGGGGATGAAGTCACTGCCGCCAGGTGGCGCTCAGGCTGCGCAGGCCCTGGCGGCTGCAGCCATGTGACCTAGGGGACAGCAGCCGGGAGTCCGGGCACGTGCCCCAGGGGAACCCAGCAGCCCCGCGCTTAGCTCGGCCTCCGCCGGTCCGCAGCTGAGCCTTGGGGCCGGAAGAACCTGCGAGGATGCGCGTGTCCGGCCGCCCCCGCGCGCCCCCTCCTCTCCAAACGTCCCTTTTTTTCTCCCAGCGCTGCCGGAGCCGGCAGTTTCCATGGGAACCGCACCGGGGTCTGCGTGCCCGGAGTAACCTTGCTCCCGGCGCCACTTCCGATCGGCCGGACCCGAGAGGAACCTCAGGTGGGGAGCAGCCAAATCGCCCAGACAAGCCAAGAGCGGCCACCCGGGGACCGCACCGTCACCGCCCCGCTTGCGCGGGCTGCCTTAATTGGCCTGTGCCCTCCTCCGGCGCGGCAGCACCCTTGTTGCGCGCGCTCTCATTGGCTGTATCTCCGGGGCATCTTCTAGCAATTGGGTCTCCCAAGGGCCATCCCCGATTGGCCAATCGAGGCTTGGCTCGCCGTTGGCACTGAGGCGCCTAAAGGGGCGTAGAACAAGGACAGGGCAGGGACCGCGGGTCGTTGATTTGGGCGGCTAGATTCCGGGTCCACACGGCCGCCTGACCGCTGTCTGTGGTGCTGAAGCCTCCCGGACGCCACCCCTCCACCCGGCGCCCGGGAGCGCTTGCGTTTGCACCTCGCGACCTCCCCGACGTAAACGTACACGCACGCTCAAGTAGCAGAGGCCGAGCCAGCGCTGCTCTACCCAGAACCAGCAGGAGCTCAGGAAGCCAGGACGTTTAGCTGGCAGGCCTGCCCACTGGAGTGTTACGGGATCCAAGGAGGATCTGTGGAGCTGGGGTGCAGCTCAGGGGTGGAGCGCTTGCTTGGCATGCGCCAGGCACTGGGCTCATCCCCAGCACTGGAGGAGGAGGGAGGCGGAGGAGAGGTGAATTCGCGGCTGCAGGCTCCACTGAAGGTGAACTAAAACCACCTTATTCGCAGCGGTGCGGCGCCCCCTGCCCTGGAGGGTACCACCACCCACTCTTTGAACCTCAGGGATACCCAGCCTACCCCAAGCCCACAGGTCCCAGGGTCCTTCTGCAGACAGATGAGGGCCGCGCTAGCCACCCCTACTCTCATCGTGGTCTTGATGGGACTATATCTGTGCCCTTCCCAAATCTGTGGACCCAGGCCTCTGCCTGTTGAAATCTTGGTTCCTTGTCCCCTTCCAGTCCTTTCGGTGGGCAACAAATCCGAAAGGTGGTATGCGTGGGCCACCGGTACCTCTCCTATCTCTTCACCTTTCCCAATACAGGTGTAGGTTGGAATAGGGGGACCCACCCTGCCGCCCAGGCAGAAAGACTGTTCGAGAAGGGGTGCCAAGACCAGGAAGCACGGTCCGCGAGGCAGGAGGGGCAGAATCTGGCAAAACGAGCCTCCAGGATGCGCTTTTTTTGGCAGTGCGGAGTCCAGGCCAGCGCGCGCTCGCTCGCCTCCACCTGCCGCGCCGTCGGGCGCCGCGAGGGGGCGGGGTTCGCGCGCCTCCGCCAATCAGCGACGCCGACTCTGGCAGCTGCCTCTATAAAGGGCTGGGGGCGGCGGCGGCGCGGCCCAGAGCGCGGAGCGCGCAGCTCGGGCAGGAGGGAGGGTGGGAGGGCGGGCGAGGGGAGCGCACTGAGCAACCGGGACCGGACAGGCCGGACCGAGGGGCGGCGGCAGAAGGCAGAAGCGCCGCGATCTCTGTCGGGAAGCGCAACCTCCCCGGGCCCCGCGGGGCCGCGCAGGGGGTGTCCTCCACCCCGCGCCCGCTCCCTCTCTCCATCCCCTGCCGCCCGCAGGCCACCCCGGGGCCCGGCCATCCGCGCGTACATCCTCGAGCTCGGGCCTGTCCCTGGCCCTCGAGGGAGCCGCTGCTCTCCTCGCCGCCTCTGCAGCGGCCCCGCCAGAGGCCGCTCGGGCGGGACCTCGGCGTGAGCATCGGGCGCCCCCCTCGGAGTGCACGACCCCCGGAGCCGCCCTCAACACGGACCGCGCCCGCCGGGCACACAAGAATGGTCACTGTAGGTATTGCCCTGTCGCTGAGAGAGATGAGGCGGGGAGGGGCTGGGTCCGGGCTCCGCGGACATGGTGGGGGTGGGGGGGTAGGACCAGGCCTAGCTAGGCCCAGCGATGGGGAGGTAGGACCGCGCCTCGGGCCCGAGATGGAGCAGGACCGCGCCCTGAGTGTTGGGGGCGCTGAGAGCCAGCTGGGAGGCCTCGGGAGCTGGGCTGGATTGGGGGGGCGCCCTGGAGGCGGGATCGCTCCCTCTCCTGAAGGCCGGTGGGGGAGGGGCCGCGGCGGCGGAGGATGCTTGCTCCATCCGGGCCCGGACCCCGCAGGCCGACCGGGCACACTTGGGAGCCCCGACCGCATCGCGGGTGCAGGGCCAAGGTGGCGAGGCATCTCCAACAGCCTCGGGGAAGCTAGTGGCGTCGGATCTCGCGGCCCGGGCCCTGGCCGCGCCCGGGAGGCGGGCTTCTCATCCTCGATCGCACCCGTCGACCTTGCGGCAAGCGGGGAGGGTAGAGGAGGGGGCGCGCCCCGAGGCCCCGCGGGCCCGGCGCCGCTGCGTCCCTTTGTTTCTCAGCGCTTCTTCGCGGGCCAGAGCCTTGCGCGGGCGCCTCGGGCTGCGGGGAGGGGGAGGGGAGAGGAGGGCTCGAGGGGGGGCACGTTTCCTGGCTCCTGGGCCCTCCTCGCCTCTCCAGGGAGGTGAGTTAGGGGGCTGAGGCAGCCCCCCAGGCCAGGTCCGGGCACTGCACCTCGCCAAGGACCCTGGGCCGCGGGGTGACCTTGAGCGCGCCCGCCGGCTCGCGCCACTCGCCCCGCGCCCGGTGCTTTCAGCAGCCACCGAGCTGGTCAGCTCCCGGGCGCGCGCCCCGCCCGC